GGAGTTCGAGGCCAGCCGGGGTTACAGAGGGAGTCCCAGGACAGTCAAAGCTACATAGAAAAACTCTGTCTGAAAAAAAAAAAAAAACAAAACAAGCCAGGCATTGGTGGTGCACACCTTTAATCCCAGCACTCAGGAGGCAGAGGCAGGTGGATCTCTGTGAGTTCGAGACCAGCCTGGTCTACAAGAGCTAGTTCAAGGTCAGCCTCCAAAACCACAGAGAAACCCTGTCTCGAAGAAAAAGAAAAAAAAAAACCTACATCAAAAGAACAATTCAAGTCACAGACCACTGGATCTCTGAATGTCCTTTAGGTTTACAGAAGGCAGGGAATTCTAGAAGGCCTGTTGCCCAGTAGACAACATGGAAACCAAGTCAAAGGGATTATTAGTTGCTTGAAGAACTAATAATTATTACAGAGCCCACCTGAATCTGAGTTAGACTTTCTTGAAATCCCATAGACACTTTTGTGCCTGAGATAAAAATTTGTGGGAGGGCTGGAGAGGTGGCTCAGAGGATAAGAACATTGACTGCTCTTCCAGAGGTCCTTCCTGAGTTCAATTCCCAGCAACCACATGGTGGCTCACAGCCATCTATAATGAGATCTAGTGACCTCTTCAGGCGGGCCGGCATACATGCAGGCAGAGCACTATATACATAAGAAATAAATCTTTAAAATAAAAAATAAATAAAAAGAATTTGTAGGAAAGTTTCATCTCTTTCCTGCAGCTTGTTGTCAATAAGGTTGCTTCTTCTTTGATGACTCTGGCTTTACTAGATGATACAAAACTAGACTGTCTGTGGTTACCAGGACAGAGGATCTCAGTTTTTAGAACCCTCTAGGATCTCATCCTATGCTCTTCCTTTTGCTGTTTCAGATTTGTACCTTTGCTAAAATAAAACCAGAAGCATTTTTAAAAAAAATGCTTTCTTGGGTTCATTGGATTATTCTAGTCAATTATCTGACTTTAAGAGTCATAGGAATCCCTGAATTTATGTCATCCTGGCCAATGCAAGACACCTGGAGACTCTCAAATTGGGTCATCTTGTAGAGGACAATACCCTTGTGGATTCTGAGTTAACATAGATTGGCAATACAGTTAATCAGACTGGCAATACAAACACTGCAGAGAAATGAATTGAAAATAAAATTTACAATTGATGCAATGATGCTGTCTTGTATCTAAAATAGTAAAGTTAGGAGGCAAACACAGGGAGATTCTAAGTTTGAGGCCAACCTGGATTACATGAGACCTTATCCACGAAACAAAACAGTGCCACACATAGTAGGGCTCACCTTTAATCCCAGCACTCAGAAGGCAGCACAAAACAATGATATATATTTGAGATGACAGGCCAATTACCCTTATCTGATCATTACACATTGTATATGTGTACTGTGTGCATTACTGTATCCACAAATATGTACAATCATTATGTGCCCATTAAATACACTGAACATGCTGGCCTCAAACTCACAGAGATCTCACTGCCTCTACCACACAAAAGCTGAGATTAAAGGCCTCTATGATCATACCAAGCCTTAAAAACTTCAAAATGCTTAGAAATGTCTCTCTTGAGAAGTCATATTTTACACCTATAGAGCAAGAAATTCAAAATACTATCTATCAAGTATTAAAAGGTTTGAAAGACAAAGTTAAGAAACTACCAAAGAAGGTGGGGCTCAGTTGGATGAGTGCTTGCCTAGGATGTACAGCACCCTGGTTCCAATTCCCAGCAAGCACACAGGTGATTAATGGATAAGTGTGAGTGTAGTGATATAGATGTTACACTATTTTTGTAGTTTTAAATTTTTTTTACCACCACCTCTACCACAAATCCTAAGTTTCCTATATAAATGGTTTTCAAACTATTTATGAAATCTGTCTGCCTTCCTTGGAATGTTTTTGGTTTTGGGGTTATTTTTTTTTTTGGGGGGGGGGTTCGAGACAGGATTTCTCTGTGTAGCTTTGGAGGCTGTCCTGGAACTCTCTCTGTAGACCAGGCTAGCCTCAAACTCACAGAGACCCCCCTGCCTCTGCTTCCCGAGTGCTAGGATTAAAGGCATGCGCCACCAATGCCCGACTCCTTGGAATGTTCTTAACTTTGTCAGTATTCATTTATGCCAGTACTCAAATATGTTTCTAACCTAATACAAAAAAAAACAGTGACAGCTGGGTGGTGGTGGCATATGCTTTTAATCCCAGCACTCGGGAGGCAGAGGCAGGCAAATCTCTGTGAGTTCGAGGCCAGCCTGGTCTCCAGAGTGAGTTCCAGGATAGGCTCCAAAGCTACAGAGAGAAACCCTGTCTCCAAAAACAAAAAAACAAAAAACAAAAAACAAAACAAAACAAAAAACTACATAGGGTCTAAATATGGTGTCGCCTGAATGACTTGCTAGAAATACAACTGAAGGCGTTTTTAGCAGCCAAGGTACATGAGCAGCTTCTGACTAACCATGACAGACTCATGACTCACCCGACTTCCAACTTCCCAGACATTTTCACATGAAGTGCTACCTAGTCAGCTTTCCTTCACTCTGTTCCTGTGCTTTTGAGACCTTGATTTTTGGGGAGGTGGGCAAGTCTGAGGATTGAATGTAAGGCCTCACATATGCTAAGCAAGCGCTTTACCACTGAGATTTCATATTTTTATATGCATGTGTGTGCAGGCAGGAATGTGCACACAAGTACTGGTGCCCTCAGAGGCTAAAAGTCAGATTCCCCTGGAGCTGGAGTTACAGGAGGTTAGGAGAAGCCAGATAGGGGAGCTGGGAACAACTCTTGGGCCTTTTGCAAGAGCAGATAAGTTCTTTTAACCACTGAGCCATCTCTAGTCCTTGACTTTTCATTTTGATACGGGGGTTACTACACCACCCAGGCCAATCTTGACATTAACTATGTAGGCCAGTCAGGTTTTGAACTTTCAGTCCTCCTGCCTCAGCCTCCAGAGTGGCTGGGATTACAAATTTATGCCATCTGGCCTACTAGAAATTCTGAATACAAACATAAGACTTGGACCAGTGAAATGGCTCAACTAATGAAAACACTTCCTATACAACCTAATGGCCTAATTCAATCTCTAGAGCCCACATACAGACAGAAAGCATCAACTTCACAAGTTTCCTTCTAACATACACACACACATGGCATACAGTACCCCCACACACATACAGAATACACATACAATAATTAACTAAAACTCCCTGTAATTTTAAATTTTTATTCTATATAATCCCCTGCAGTTTTAAAATACTTACACATTTTATTAACATTTTTTAAGTCTTAAATTGTGTGTGTGTGTATGTGTGTGTGTGTGTGTGTGTGATTGGTACATTCCTAACACCAAGAAGAAAAAAGTTACTTCTGAAAGAAGCTAGTGGGATTGCTCAGTGTCAGGCAAAGGACTTGCAACACAAGCTTGATGCTTGATGACCTAAGCTAGATTTCCAGAACCCATCCACATAAAGCAAGAAGAGAATTGACTATTTAACCTCCACATGCACACAATGGCATGAGCTACTATATACACACACACAAATAATATTTTTTAAAGCCACTAAAGCCTGGCATGGTGGTGCACGCCTTTAATCCCAACACAGAGGTAGGCAGATCTCTGAGTTTGAGGATAGCCTGTTCTACATATCAAGTTCCAGGCTATTCAAGGCTATCCTGGAGAGGTGGCAGAGATGGGGGGGGCGGAGGAGCACTAGAAAAAAGTTAGAGCCACCAAAGTGTTTCTCAACGTCTCATGTAGCTTTCTTCAGTCCTCAATTTAGAGAAAAGTCTAAAAGTATGTTACTTCAGCTTGACAGTCACACCCACACATTTTAAAACATTCCCCCAAGTGCTTTTTGCCCCCTACTCACAAAGTGCTTGAAGTCTCAATCGTATTCTGTTTCTCCCAGCTGTAGGACGTGTAATAAGAAAAGCATCCACTCAGCGTCTAGGGCAAGTCTGGTTAGAAGGATGAGGTCATCATTCAGATTCACACCTGATCCTTAAGAAGCAGCTCCTCCTTCAGTAAGCAAGTCTCTGTAGGCTTAAAGTAACATTCACAACCTGTACAGCAACAAGTCCTTCCTTATACAGGCCTGGTCCCACAGGATCATTTCCCGCTCTGGCCACTTGACACAATGCTGAACTCAGGGACCAATGGTAACAGTGACTGCCTCTGCTGTGGCTAGCATTGGGCTCACAAGAGAGCTTCATGTACAGCCACAGTGGAAGTCAGGTCTTTCACCACTAACCTAGACACACTCCTATCTGCTTCAACAGTTTTGTCCAGAATAAGACTTTACCAAAATCATTACATCTTGGACAGATTTTACAAAAATTTTCCTCAAGAGGGAATTACATCTTTTCTATATTTTCTTTCCTAACCTTGAAGTCATAATGTACAAGAGAATGACCTTTAGTTTCTGATCTTCCTGCTTCCACCTCCCAAGTACTAAGGATATAGGTAGTGCTGGATATAAACCCTGGACTTTATAAATGCTAGAAAATGAGCCATACTCCAAGCCCTTCCATTTTCTCTGTCCACAAATCCAAAGAAGCCAAGGCAGCTAAATGTGTTGTATGCAGTTAAAACTAAATACTTCCATCCCGAGTTTTCCCCCAGTTTTACCATCTTTAAGAAAATTATTTATGCTGGGTGGTGGTGGCGCACACCTTTAACCCCAGCACTCGGGAGGTAGAGGCAGGTGGATCTCCACAAGTTCAAGTCTAGCCTGGTCTACAGATTGAGTTCCAGGACAGGCTCCAAAGCCTCAGAGAAACTCTGCCTTGAAAAACCAAAAAAAAAAAAAAAAAAAGAAAAGAAAAAAAAAAGAAAAAGAAAAAGAAAAGAAAAAAAAATGTACTCTGCCGTGCCCATTTCTTTCTTGGCAAAACTGGACAATCATAGCCCAAAGATACATAGAGTTGATTTCATTTCAAAATGCTAAAGCAGTGGTATAAAATATTTTCAGTCAAAAGTATTGGGGAGCACTGGGCAGTGGTGGCGCAAGCCTCTAATTCCACTACTTGGGAGGAAGAGGCAGGTGGATCTCTGTGAGTTCAAGGCCAGCCTGGTCTACAGAGCGAGTGCCAGGATAGACTCCAAAGCTACACAGAGAAACCCTGTCTCGAAAAACCAAAAAACAAGGATGCACCATGAATCTCAGCTTCCTTTTGTGCGAGTTATTTAACTTCCTTATCCTTATTTTAGGATTCATGTGTGAGCTGAGTGTATGCCATGTATAAGAGTGACTGCAGGAGCCAGAAGGGGGAGTCAGATCCTCTGGCACTGGAGTCACAGGTGATTGGAAGCCACGAGATGTGGGTGCTGAAAACCACACTAAGGTCCTTTGCAAGTGCAGCACCATGCTCTTGACTGCTGAGCTAGCTCTCCAAACCCATCCTTATTTTTAAAACTCAGGTAATTCAGGGCTACGCTGGTAGAGCACTTGTGCAGAGCCCCAGGTACTTGCTTGTATAAGGCAAAAAAGAAATACTAAGGTGTCAGCTGCAGTGCTGTAGATAAAATGAGATACCATTATACCTGGAATATTAATAATAATTCAATGGGTTGGGCAGTGGTAGCCCAGACCTTTAATCCCAGACTTGGGTGGCAGAGGCAGACAGATTTCTGTGAGTAGATTCCAGGAGAGCCAGGACTGTTTCACAGAGAAACCCTGTCTCAGAAAAAAGAAAAAACAAAAAACTCAATGAATGTTGGCTACTATTATTAGTGACTTAAGAATGCTGTGCGTTGCCCACTGTGGTAATGTATGAATGTAATCCCAGTGCTTGGGTGATGAAGACAGGAAGATCAGGAATTCAAGGCCAACTTCAGCTTCATAGAGAATGCCAGGACAGCCTGGGCTACATGAAATGCCGATTCCAAGAGAAACAAACAAAAAACGTGGTGTTTTATCTTGAGAAATTCTGTCTCAGAAAGAAAAGAGAAAAAGGTTGTGATGCTTACTTTAAAAGATGAAGCTACAGGGTGTAAACTACAATCACCGCCTGGCCTCTGCTCCCTGAAGAATGATCAATAAACTGTTCTTTTCAAAAGGAAAAATGTAAAGGACCACTACATCATAAACGATGCCTGCACATATCTGTAATCTTAGTGACTCAGGAATTTGATACAGGAAGATGCAGGCTACAAATCCCATCGTGGCAGGGGAATTGGGAGGGGACACCTGACCAGAAAAAAAACCTCTTCCAATTTCCATTCTAACATTTTCTTCTCCTGAAAATGTTGTATTTATACACCATAGTTTAGAATTTGCTCAATGCTTTATAATTTTTAAGTTTTCAGTCTAGTCAACTAGGTAGACACAAGGACAGAATCTTCTTTCATGCTCACGTTAGTATATTGTGCTTATTATACTGTAATTGTGTCTCATTGTCTTCCCACGCAGGTTCTAAACAATCAAAGGCAGAGATCAAGTTTTACTTTTATATTCTGAGGTCTTTTACACAAAATACGGCTCAATAGATTTTGCTGAATGGATATGTGAAGTAATCTTTTCCCCTTCAACACTTACACAATATTCTCCATATAACAGGGGATCCATAAAGCTTGTTATTAGACTCATACAGGGAAAAAAAAATTGATTCAACTAGCAGACAAAGCTTCACCTTGTCCCAGAAAAACATTTCTAATTTAAAGTTCAGTTACGAACACCACAGATTAAGTTTTCCTCTAATACAAGTCAAATAAGTGGGTTCCATGACTATATCTAAGCTAGCTCAAGGATTTAAAAGCCATTATTCTAATTAATGAATTTGTGTATCTCAATATGGCAAAAGCCAGTTACATAATCAAAAGAAGTTATCCTTTGTAAATTTATACCTACAAAATATGGACAATTTATTAGGAATCTTCTAGTAATTCTGTTTCTACAGAGTAAAATGGATAAATTATCTTTACCCATGACGTGAGGCCATAATTTTCACTAGAAATGAGTTAACCGGCCAAAAACTCCAAACTTGACTCCAGAAAACAGCTCTTAAGATTCAGAGGTGGGTGAATGTTTTTTTTTTTTTTTTTCAGTAACTTTTAACTCCTGAAGGCTGCTTTATTTCATGTATTAAAAATTTGTCTCCTAAAATAAAACCTCATCCATTTCTTCAAAGACAAATTATCTTAAATGGACAGACTGTGGAAATACTAGGTTTCATATGCAAGTGATCAAAAGGATCCCTAGATTGAGTGTTCAGCCTCCTGCTGCAACAGAGACAACTTTCTTAGTTTTAAGTTATATTTGTGAAAAGTTTAAGCGTCTTTACTGTACATTCTTTTGCCATATCATCTCTACTGATTTTACACCGCATATATAATTTCACAAGCACATCGTAAAGGAAGTCTTACATTTGAATGAATCTGGGAAGAAACGTGTTGTGAACACACACCCCCTTCTTTCAGTTCCCAAACGCTCCAGAGGAAGCACACCTCAGAGTTTTTTGGGTTTTTTTTTTTTTTCTCGCGCTCCCGCCCCCACCCCACGCTTTATTTTAGAGCAGCACTCACTATCTTACTCACAGTCTCTACGTTGAAAAGAACCTCTCCAAGTAATACCAGTTTACCAAGACTTTCCCTTTTCACAAGTCCAGAGTGTTGGTTTATTGGATATTTCTTTGGCAAAGGGAACAGGGAGCTGGGAGGGTC